TCAATAGTTTGTGATTAGGTATTTAAATTAGGTAGAGGGCAGGAATGTCTACTGATACTATGAAATATGACTACTGAATCCGTCGAGTGGACAATGCATTACTAATAGTCGTGTTCACTTTAATCTGTTCTCAAAGCTATAACATAATTCAGTGTTTTACTAAACAGCCGGCTTCGTGGTTTTTGTTTTTCTTCCTGAAGAACGTTTTTGTATTTTTGTTTACCTTTCCCGAATATTTTGTCTTGACCGCCTTCAGTTTTCCAGGTTTGGTGTTTGCTTTATTATTCCCATCACGCTTGACGGACGTAAATTTTACCATAGTCTGCATTTTGAAATATAAGGCTCCAGTTTCCCATGACAATGCAGCCTGTTTACAAGCAGCATGATACCGTTGTCTGCTTTGTGTGTTACGTCCATCATGTCGCGCTACTGACCTCCTGTGCTTTAATCCTACTGGCGCGCTCTACAGTGTCCACCGCCTGATCTCTGACCACGGTGTCCTGATCAGATGGACCAGTCGGGGACTACTAGTTCCCTTGTCAGGTTGGCCACTAGTGGACTACATGTTCCCATGTCAGGTGGATCACTCGTGGACCACTTGTTCCTCTGGTCAAGTAGATCAATCATAAACCAATCAGTCCTCTGTCCAACGTGATCACAAACGGACAAGATATTCCACTTGTCATACGTTGATCATAGTCCAGACATCACCTGTCAGAGTTCATTATATTAAGGAGCATTTTGTAAAACAGAAGGATTCATTCGTATATACTGAACGGGGTGCAGTAAACATTGAGCTATAATGAAAACTACCCGAGGTTGTCGTGAGTTTATTGATTCAATTATAGATTCACTTGCTAAATGATCTTAATGAATGTAAACCAATACAAATAAAGTCAAAATACTCGAGAGTATCTACTGCAACCTGCAATAGTTTTATATTAGATTTAAAACACATTAGAAAAAGATATTCAAAGGAAAGACACTGACAAAACCCGACTTCTTAATCCTTATGAAAATGTTTCTACATGGCGTAAAAATCCAGTTCACCTGTATCACAAAGGTTTACTCAGCGTGGGGATTCTGGAGCAACGCGCTCTACCACATGTACCTGGCAAATACAGTTTCCGGGAAGAGGGGTTTATTTATACTTAAATCTTGTATGTCAGATATTTCAAGTATTGCTCTAGAATCCCTTACAAAGGTGAGGTAAATTGCTCATTGACCAATCCAAACTCACTGTAATAAAACATCTTGTACACTTACCATATCTTTCACATAATTCCTACAAAAAATAGTCTAATAGACCTTACCCTTTGTCCTTAGAACGCCAAAATATTATCACAATATCTCTAAGGAACAACGGTAAGAATCTATGCTTCTTAGAATCATAAGCATCAAAGATTCCATCATTATCGGGAGGTCAAAGGTCAATAAGGCTCATCACTATGTACAGCTTCTAATGAATGACTTACTGAACAAAGACCCCCCCATCCCTGGCGTGATGGTATTCACTCTCGTCATCAAAGTACCAGTACAATCAAATCCTTTCTAGTTCTCCTAGTCCAGCTCATCTAGACAGAATAATCATCTAGAAATGCCAGGCTTCACATCATGCAACGCTCCTTCGAGGAACATAAAATAGGTATGGTAAGAATTTCTGTATATAAACATGGTTTACAAATATTTAGCCGTAAATTAGGAACATTTTAGTAAGTTACAGGATCCTCGCACGTCGCTCAGAGTTAGGAGACTCGAACAACTACGGCTCGAACGGGACCAGTTTTTCAGTCAAAAGTCAGATCAGTAACATGCTTGATGTAAAAAAGGTGCCGACAAGAAGTTGTGCGACATCTAGGACAGTGGACACCAACAACTGTTATCGAACCATATTTATACGAGTCAGTTTCCTAGACAGATGGAGACAGCCCAGCAGGTTCCTGCTGCATCCCCCAAGTGTAAGGTGGTCAATCTCCCAGCTTAGCTAAACAGAGTCGTGAAAAGGACAAATTTTCAATGCGTGATTTCCCGGTACGAGGAAAACAGAGTTCCCAATAATCAAACTGCATTTGGTGGTGTAAGCGTACGACACGACATGTCGTCCTGAGGCACTATCAATAAATGGTCAAATGCTTTTAGCAAGACTAAAGCCACACCTATTAGTGCTCTTAAGATCACTAGTAATACACTATCATCAATAAATTGAAAGGATTTTCCTGAAGATAGAACACGAGAGCTATGCCGTGATGTAAGCTCACACCACTGAAAAGCTTGAGAATATGGAGAATGTGTACTTGTGTTCCTGTCAAGAGTCGGGTGCTGCGCATGTGCTGTGGTGGCGCTAGTTTCGTGTTCACCTCGTCAAAACAAAAAGAACAGGAACAAGAGCCGCTGTCCAAGACGAGATAAATTCACGGTCGACGTCATTAATGTACTCTCTCGCTATTAGTCTAGTCAGCAAGCAAGAGGGATAAGCTCATTGGCTTTATTCTCTGACATCACAAAATGCGTCGTCCGGTCGATATAATTTCCATGTATAATTTATTTTTAAATTGAGCTCTAATGGCTAGCAAGACTGAGAAAATCATTTTATAGCTTAAAGAAATTGAAAAAATTGCAGTTGTAAGTTTAACTAAATGTTATGAAATTTCTAGGAATCTGGGGAATGGAAATTAGAGCCGACCCAAGGTAATCTACATAGTTACTTTTAACCTTCAAGTGAAAGGAGAAACATTTTCAAAATATTGTTTAAAAATAACTTGATACTAAACTCATCAACCTATGTATAAATCTCGTTGTTGGACAACTGGTTTATTTAATCCAGTATTTATATTTAATCCAGAATTATTCGAGTAATTCAAAAAATAATAAACGAAAGGCAATCTTTCACAAGTAACAATAAACTGACACTATGCTAGAAAGTTCTGTACTGACGATTTATTATCCAATAAAAGCTTTCCTGTTTGCTAGGACTGGAGTAGGGTAAACAGGTAAATGTCAACACGTGCTTTTATATAGATAAAAAGACTGAGGTATGATAAACAACAAAGATAGGCATACAAATAAATATATAATAAATAATTACATCAATAGACATAGAATATGCATATCAAAGTTAACTATAATTATTGTGCTAGTGTTGAAACAAGAGCTTTATAAAGAAAACATCTCGAGGACCACGTCAATTGCTATCAAAACATTGAAATACTATTGAAGACGCGGAACAATGGGAGCAAGCAACGGAACACTTCAAACATCGAATCCAGCAGGTCGCCGCCAATGCTTTTGGTTCAAACCTTGATTTCACGTCGTAAATATTGGATTTTTTTTATAATTTAATTCACTTTTTCAGTTATTGATTGACGAGTCGCAAGCTCGCAGCGCTGGAGGCTTTTTGTGTATTAGTTTGCTCAAAACATTCGATTAGTTAACTGTACCCAAAGTTTAGACGGTATAGATTTGTATGGGTCTGGGAACTAACATGTGGAGGGGAATAACGTCGCAGGAATTGTCTGATAATCCGGACTGAAAACATTTGTAGCTTGTGACCCATTATCCCTTTTCAGGATTTGTATTCTCCTATTGTTAACCAAATACTCCCCCAAAGCAACCAACAACTGCTGCGTTTATTTACTTACAAATATTATGAAAATAAGAATCACAGCTTAAGTATAGGAACTTGTTACCTCTCACCTACCCCCTCCCCCCCCTCGACTACCAGGGGGCATAGTGTGGCATCACAAACGCTCCTCCACGCCCCTCCCCCCCCCCGACCACCAGGCGGGCATAGTGTGGCATCACAAAGACTCCACCACGCCCCCCCCCCCCCCCCCCCCCCGACCACCAGGCAGGCATAGTGTGGCCGTCACAAACACTCCACCACGCCCCCCCCCCCGACCACCAGGCGGGCATAGTGTGGCCGTCACATGCTCCACCACGCCCCCCCCCCCCCCCGACCACCAGGCGGGCATAGTGTGGCCGTCACAAACACTCCACCACGCCCCCCCCCCCCCCCCGACCACCAGGCGGGCATAGTGTGGCCGTCACATGCTCTACCACGCCCCCCCCCCCCGACCACCAGGCGGGCATAGTGTGGCCGTCACATGCTCCACCACGCCCCCCCCCCCCCTCCCCGACCACCAGCCGGGCATAGTGGGGCATCACGAACGCTACAACACGCTGGCAAACAACTTCATAACATCGAATAGTGCTTGTACTAAGCTCAAATATGCACTAGTATAGATCAGTGTAAAAAATATATCAAATCGATTGATATGTATTATTTTAAGGAACATGAAACCGTTTGCATTTTGTTTTTTAAATGCCATTTTGGCACTAAAATGTGAGCTGAAATTTGCATATCTTCATTGAATAGAAATGTCTCGAGACTAAATAATTGTGTTCAATTGCAATCAAATGTGCATGGAACTCGGAGTTTATATAATTCTTAGGAGGAACTTTCTACCTTGCTCTCATGAACTATAAAATGGCAACACTGGGAGATGACCACCTGATATGGCAACACTGGGAGATTGCCACTTGATATGGCAACGCTTGGAGATAATCCACTACTAGATAAATACCTGCGATGGCAACACTGTTCTGTACCGTTGAATACTACAACACATTAACTGCCTAGGATGGTAATACTGATGTACGGCCAGCAGACCCGGCAACCCCGCCTGCGTGGCCAGCAGACCCGGCAACCCCGCCTGCGTGGTCAGCAGACCCGCCCGCGTGGCCAGCAGACCCGCCCGCGTGGCCAGCAGACCCGCCCGCGTGGCCAGCAGACCCGCCCGCGTGGCCCGCAGACCCGCCCGCGTGGCCAGCAGACCCGCCCGCGTGGCCAGCAGACCCGCCCGCGTGGCCAGCAGACCCGCCCGCGTGGCCAGCAGACCCGCCCGCGTGGCCAGCAGACCCGCCCGCGTGGCCAGCAGACCCGCCCGCGTGGCCAGCAGATCCGCCCGCGTGGCCAGCAGACCCGCCCGCGTGGCCAGCAGACCCGCCCGCGTGGCCAGCAGACCCGGCAACATGGGACTGGCAACGCCGCCTACTAGCCTGCAGTAGACATGGTGGCAGCGTTCTTTATTTACTTAAGAGTAAAGTATAAACATATTCAACCTGGTTATTTTGTGTTGTTAGGACTTACACCTGTCAAGCGAGCTAACTACCACGGCACTAACAAAACATTAAAGAATTATAACTCCTCTAGTGACGAAAATCGTTAAGTTCCGCTACAACATGGAGAAAAGGTCGACAGCAAATTGTAGTTACTGATAGTTTGTCGAATATAAGAAGCTAATCCTAACTAGCCTACTGCAGGTGGGTGCCCGGGCCAGCCTCCGGAAGGCGTAGCCGGGCCCCCCTGAACACGGGAACCAGCGTCCCAGGGCACCAACACCGCACCGCCCGTGCACAGCCCAGCCGCACCTGCGCAGGGTACTGGGCGCACCTGCGCTCATGGGTAGCACCGGGCCTCACCTGACACACTACCCATGGCTGCTTTATCACTTCCCCTAGATTTAGATCACAAGGGGAACTATTACGTTTCAACTTTAAACCAACATCAACCTGAGAAATCACAGGTAATTCAAGGCTAATAATTGAATTGTTTAGTAAAATACAAGGTTGGAAATACTGACTATACTGAATGATTTCTAAGGCGTTTCACACCCTCAACACCATAATCCATTATAATCTCTGGGAAGTCATAGCCCAGGATTACCGTAAATCATGATAAACTTGCAAGGTTTCACAAATGCCTGTGTGACCAAGAGGTGTGTGTCAGGCTGCTAGTCCAGCGTCCCCAGGCAGTCTGTAGTACTTTGAAAACATGTGTTAAGTGGCGTGACCTCGTGGCTCTTTAAACAGCACACCAGTACACCTGGGGAGGTAAATATTACAACACTTTCACATAGTACCTATCTACAGTACATACTGCTGATACAGTACATAGCCCTTATCTACAGCCAATTCCTTCCCTGGACTGGTATGTTGATTAAGACCCTAAGGCCACGTATCTACTGTTACGGACTAAGACAATTGGAGGAGACTAGATCCTCATGACGGTTAGTGTTACAACTCTGTAGTGCTTTGTGATAACGGAATTATTATATATGGAGAACTTGGTCACAGAATGTGTGTAGTCTGGTGCTGTGAGTGGCCTTGGCCCTCGAGGAGTCGACCAGCCACCACACACCTCCAGCTACACTTTGTATTGCTCTTGACCTTTCCCTCTAGCAAGTGACGGATCAGCGAGTTGAGCCTTCTAGCATTTACTCTCATTTCTATCTATAGTAATAACAAAAAAAATTACCCTTATCAAACCCCATTTAAAGACTAACAATTGCCGATCACATCACAACCATTGATAGGAACTATGGAACCGGTCTAAGGATTCTTAACAATTGAGAGGTAGTTCGGTAGTTTGCATGCGGTTACCGCTGGCGGGTGATCGGTGTCAGTGCCCATTTAACCCGGTCTTTCACGAACCATCACAACAATAGCACACTCATAGTACCCCGGTGATAGGCCAGACGCCCTGCTACCGCTGCCCGTCCTCGGCTCCAGGATGCTCTTCCCCGTCATCAATAAATTTGCCTTGTTTATAATTATTAAAAAAAAAATAGCATCCAACTTCCAATCTTGAACAATTTCAAAAGTAACATTTCAAAGGTAACATTTGAAAGATTTGATAAAATTATTACTCACATACGAGTATCAAGTTTAGACTCTGTTTTGTATACTGTTAAATTCCAATTTGTTTTAGAAGTTTTTTTACTTACAATAATTTAGATTTGGGAGAGCCAATGCCAATTTTAGACAAGCCTTTGTTACAAGGTTTCTCCCAGACATGAAGACTTCTTCTGGACCAGTGTTTCATCCCACATTCCCTGATTCATAACACAAGCTGATTGATCCAAGGATTTTAGTAGCACTGTATTTAAGAAATTGTTCAAGAATATCAGACTTGAAAACCACAAGATGAATCAAATGTCGTTATTATTTTACGGGTTTAGTTTAAGCAAGTTTCCTTAATAAAATAATAATTTATCATCTGCCCCTGGTGACCAGTCCGGCACACACAACAAGGCTTTAGAAAATGATTAACAGTTACGGAAATGTTTCATTACATGTAAGCATCGAGGACCTCTGAAGGCCAGCTAGCAGTACCAAGGTGCCCACCAGAAATGCCAAGAGCCTGGCATTAGTACACTAATTAATGTTGCTCCTACTGATCTCTGCCCACTGCTCATCTCTCCCTTCAGCCTGTAGCCGTTCTGTACATGCGTTGAGGTCGTCAGCGGAGTCTAAGCCTTCCGCATCACTTGAAAAAGGTTATTTTTTTTTCGTTTAGTGAACAGATAAGAGCCTGTATCAGATAAAACTAAATTTAAAGTTACTATTCTCTGATACCAGCACTAGGTATCACTGATATTTGTGTGAACTGGTGTAATTTTAGTTATATAACCCTCCCAATACAAGATGACGGCTTACATGTACGTGGGGGACGTGAATAATATAATTTTTCTAATAGTTCCAAGATGCACTTGTGTATATGTATCCCATGGAGGAGAATCTAGTGTGCAGATGGTAAGGGGGTTATACTTGAAGAATCTTGCGAGGTTTCCTTATCCTAAGGTCTCAGGATTATCACCTTGACAACATAAGTCCTCCGCCGCTCATTGCGTTCCCTTGAGGTGAGAGACCGGAGCCGTTCCCAGGGTCGCCGAAGACAACGTGAAGAAGTGGCCGTCAACCCGGGCAGCACAGGGTCGCACTATCGCTACAGGAACATAGTACTGGCCACGATAAACCTACGATAGGAACCATTTACCCACAGGATCAGTGATTGTATGAATGAGTGCTTCCGCCGGCGCCTACCACCTGCTGACACGCCCACACCTCACACGTGCAGTACGGCCACAGAAAAGGCCCTGCGGGTTACAGAGCAACAGCATGGGGCGTGTGGGCATGGTAGTTAGGGCTGCGCGGGCGGGGCAGTGTGCGGCGCCTGGTGACCGCTAGCTACAACACGACAACGTCTACACGGACACAGGAGCGGCGAGGCCACAGCGACACGCGACACAGTTTGTGGGGCGCCGCCGCGGGGGCGTTTACTGCGAGGCGTTAAGTGGGCAGGGCACGAAGCCCGGCCTGCGAGGAGGGGCGAGGCGGCCCAGGCCATGGTAGGCCTGGTCCAGAAGGCCCGGGGGCCGCGCTAATCACTGAAGGTAGCAGCCAGATGGCCCAGTGGGCCATAAATGCTCCACTCTACTGGCTGGGGGCCGGCTGTGGCCCAGGGGTTGAGGAGGCAGTGTCCTTGTTGATGTTGGCGTTGGTATCAGTGCCAGGGTGCGCCGCCTGTGCTAGGGCAGTGATCTGTCGCACTACCGCCGCTACCTCCGCGTCCTCTACCACGGCGCTGCCTGCAGAGCTCACCACGGCGCTGCGATGTTGTTCGCTGTCCAGGTGGCGGCGGTAGTCGGCCAGGGTGGCGGCGTGGTGACGGCACGCAGTACAGGCGTACAGCAGCTGCGTCAGCCTGAGAACTCCGCGAGTGTGATCATGGGCGCGTTGGTGGGCGGCCAGGAGGGCGGGCGAGGGGAATACGAGGCGGCAAGATTTGCACACCCACCCTACCTCCCCCTCAGCGTGCTCGGCCGCCTCGCCCGCGTCGCTCGCCTGTCCGCCGTCCAGCGTGAAGCTCGCCCCGGATGACCCTGAGGACCCCAGGTGTGCGTTGAGTTCGGCGTGGGCGGAGGGTGGTAGCTGCAGCATGGAGAGTGGGGTGCCACCCCCGTAGGCTCCTCCTGAGACCTGGTCGAACCCGCAGCCGCCCATTCCGCCGCTGGTGCCGCCATTGCCTACGGAGAGAACAAAAGTGTTAGTACACGCTCACTGCACCTGCATCATTACAGGCTAGAAATACTCAAGAAAATTATAAATCTACATCACAGGTCATAAAAGTCATCTGCTGTCACTACATGTAAACACTGACCAGATGAATATATCCTATCATACATTTGACTTTTAATGCAAAAAAGTGCAAGTATGAAGAATATGTTGGTTTAATCGAACTAGTTATTAACCAAAAATTAAATAACCTTGAGTGAAACAAAAGCTAAGCCTCCTTGTGAGACAGTTTAATGATTTTATGTACTTTATTTTAATCGCCAAATGGCCCAGACACATGTCAGTGTTTTAGGGCAAAAATACTTTCGACTTGTGACCGTCTTCAAAGAACGGCCACTTCCTTACATTTCGTCGTGTCTTGGAGGTCAAAACCAATGCTAAAAAAATATAATGGCCCTTAATGTCCACTCTCTCAAATTATATTCTTTGACATAATATATGAGGAGTCTAATGGGTTGCCGTGACGAGCGCTCTAGTTGTTTTGCTTCCTCTTGGGTCTTGTTTATTAAAGGGATCCCGTCAGAGTCCGGAGGGTAACAGAGGATAAGAGCCCTATACATTAGAGCGTTTCAGTTAACTGTTATCGTGCGTAGATAATATTTTCTTGAACCTGGTTAATGTTTGTGAACCTCATTATTAGGCTCCACTCTTGTTATTTTTGGCCCTAATATATTGTTATAAATATACAGTATTATGATTCACATTATTATGAAACTACTTATAGGTTGTGACTCCAACATCATTGTTACCTGATTTTCAGCCATCTCCCTTCAACCTCCTTTCCACTAGAACAACTAAAACTGACGTTATTGAAATACGTTTGTAAATCTTCATTGATAATATGCTTCAAGTTACAGTGTAAGAAAACATTTTAGTAGAACTCGGTCAACACAACGTTGATGACATTGATTCAACGTTGAATTGGCGTTGCTCTTGGATATTGTGCCACTGGGAACCTGCTTCTTACTACAAGTCGACTATAAATCAATGATGAATTTATCAATTAAAACCTCTCTCTTCACATAGACTTCGAGGTAAGAGTAAATGAACAAAAAGGGAAATAACTATATTCGAAGAAAAGAAATGTATATTTCTGAAAAAAATGTCGAGGTATTGCTAGCGGGAGGGAGTGGATGGTTGTTGCTTGTCGGGTTGTGCTTATGGGGCCAAACTTCACCTCCTCACTCCTACCTTTCCAGCTATCGGATAGTTACTTCAAATATTTCATATATATTTTATCGTCATTGCTTCTGAGACTGTGTGTATGATTTGTGCACCACCTTCCCCCCCTTCTAGACGGTCATGTCTGTTTATAACTCTTACCAAAATTGAGGTCCTCCCGTCATCTGTAAGGCATGTAAACTCGTATTTTCCTATGGCTTCTTCGTTCCATGGAGCTTCGTTTTTCTATTTCTCACTTTAAACGATCTTTGTTGTTTTTGCCGATTTCCATTATAAATTTTGCATGTTGTTATTGTGTGCGCGCCTGCCTGTGTGTTTATTATTGTGCCTGCAGAATCAGACTTTAGCCCTTGGACGGACGGACTATGTTACCCACACACACACACACACCACACACACACACACACACACACACACACAACACACGGTCCAGATGGGATCTCACCATGGGTACTGAAAGAGTGTGCAGAGGCACTTTGCCTGCCACTCTCCATAGTGTATAGTAAGTCACTAGAGACGGGAGACCTACCAGAAATATGGAAGACGGCGAATGTGGTCCCAATATACAAAAAGGGCGACAGACAAGAGGCACTGAACTACAGGCCAGTGTCCTTGACTTGTATACCATGCAAGGTGATGGAGAAGATCGTGAGAAAAAACCTGGTAACACATCTGGAGAGAAGGGACTTCGTGACAAATCGCCAACATGGATTCAGGGAGGGTAAATCTTGCCTTACAGGCTTGATAGAATTCTACGATCAGGTGACACAGATTAAGCAAGAAAGAGAGGGCTGGGCGGACTGCATTTTCTTGGATTGTCGGAAAGCCTTTGACACAGTACCGCATAAGAGGCTGGTACATAAGCTGGAGAGACAGGCAGGTGTAGCTGGTAAGGTGCTCCAGTGGATAAGGGAGTATCTAAGCAATAGGAAGCAGAGAGTTACGGTGAGGGGTGAGACCTCCGATTGGCGTGAAGTCACCAGTGGAGTCCCACAGGGCTCTGTACTCGGTCCTATCTTGTTTCTGATATATGTAAATGATCTCCCGGAGGGTATCGATTCATTTCTCTCAATGTTTGCGGACGATGCTAAAATTATGAGAAGGATTAAAACAGAAGAGGACTGTTTGAGGCTTCAAGAAGACCTAGACAAGCTGAAGGAATGGTCGAACAAATGGTTGTTAGAGTTTAACCCAACCAAATGTAATGTAATGAAGATAGGTGTAGGGAGCAGGAGGCCAGATACAAGGTATCATCTGGGAGAGGAAATTCTTCAGGAGTCAGAGAAGGAAAAAGACTTGGGGGTTGATATCACGCCAGACCTGTCTCCTGCAGCACATATCAAGCGGATAACATCAGCGGCATATGCCAGGCTGGCCAACATACGAACGGCATTCAGAAACTTGTGTAAAGAATCATTCAGAACTTTGCACCACACACACATTTGTCTATTTAACACAAGGGAACACGCACAAGGGGACACAGGTGGAAACTGAGTGCCCAAATGAGCCACAGAGATATTAGAAAGAACTTTTTTAGTGTCAGAGTGGTTGACAAATGGAATGCATTAGGGGGTGATGTGGTGGAGGCTCACTCCATACACAGTTTCAAGTGTAGATATGACAGAGCCCGATAGGCTCAGGAATCAGTACACCTGTTGATTGACGGTTGAGAGGCGGGACCAAAGAGCCAGAGCTCAACCCCCGCAAACACAACTAGGTGAGTACAACTAGGTGAGTACACACACACACACACACCTGGAAGAGCGGGGTTGAGCTTTGGCTCTTTGGTCCCGCCTCTCAACTGTCAATCAACTGGTGTACAGATTCCTGAGCCTACTGGGCTCTATCATATCTACATTTAAAACTGTGTATGGAGTCAGCCTCCACCACATCACTGCCTTACTGCATTCTATCCGTTAACTACTCTGACACTGAAAAAGTTCCTTCTAACGTCTCTGTGGCTCATGTGGGTACTCAGTTTCCACCTGTGTCCCCTTGTTCGCGTCCCACCAGTGTTGAATAGTTTATCCTTGTTTACTCGGTCGATTCCTCTGAGGATTTTGTAGGTTGTGATCATGTCTCCCCTTACTCTTCTGTCTTCCAGTGTCGTAAGGTGCATTTCCCGCAGCCTTTCCTCGTAACTCATGCCTCTTAGTTCTGGGACTAGTCTAGTGGCATACCTTTGGACTTTTTCTTGTGCTTGACAAGGTACGGGCTCCATGCTGGGGCCGCATACTCCAGGATTGGTCTTACATATGTGGTGTACAAGATTCTGAATGATTCCTTACACAGGTTCCTGAACGCTGTTCTTATGTTTGCCAGCCTCGCATATGCCGCAGACGTTATTCTTTTTATGTGGGCTTCAGGAGACAGGTTTGGTGTGATATCAACTCCTAGTGTGTGTGTGTGTGTGTGTGTGTAGGGGGGGGGGGGGCTCACCCTAAGCAGTAGCAGTGCAGCTTTCAACCCTCATAACCACACACATGGTAACAACCCAATCGCGCTGTAAAGACCTCATCACAGTACAAACACCAATGAAAACCGCCCGCATCGTACCCCACAAGATGACATCCTCATTCCCCCACCGTCCACATTTGGCCTTGATAATGCCCGCTGTCTCAATTTGCCGTAATTAATAAAGAGTCGAGATAATTAGGCACATCCTAGCCGAGCTTACCCGGTGTGCTGCATAAACCTGTACCCTGCCACTACCCAGTGGCGCACTGGGTCACCCGCCGCTGGCGCACCGGGTCACCCGCCGCTGGCGCACCGGGTCACCCGCCGCTGGCGCACCGGGTCACCCGCCGCTGGCGCACCGGGTCACCCGCCGCTGGCGCACCGGGTCACCCGCCGCTGGCGCACCGGGTCACCCGCCGCTGGCGCACCGGGTCACCCGCCGCTGGCGCACCGGGTCACCCGCCGCTGGCGCACCGGGTCACATATAGCGTATAAGGAGACCACGAGGTGCAGAGGGTATATACCTGCCACACCATCCCCGCAAAGAGATAAACTTAGTTTTTCTCCCACCTGCCTTCATTGAAGCCTCTATGAAATTGCACGGAAGAACTCTCAATAATAGTACTTAATCGGTGGTTGCTATTAGAACATAGAGCGGCGGCAACTAGTTTGACAGGGGCAGTGGAAGACCTTTCCCTACCTCTCCCACCCATCCATGCCCCTCTTCCCGTCCCTCCTTTTCCCTAATCATCCTCCTGGTGTTCCGCCTACCACAGGGTTTCGCTATAATTGAATAATAGAGCCACCACTGCAAGCCGCTGCCGTCTGGGTACCTCCGCCAAGGATAACACTTTTGTTTTTATCCATCCTTACTGAATTACGCTCGTGTGCATTGCTGCCGAGATTTATAAAAAAAAATTGCTTCGTAGTACCTCTAGTTCATAGGAACCAGGACCAGTATCCTCGCCTATAAAAGAAAAAGAAATGCTCTCAAAACAACGCTTTGCTTGTAAATGATGCTCGGCTACTCTGAACGCGGTCCTCCACACGCTTCGCTCACCTGCTGATTGTAATTTCTTAAGGTGGTATAATTTGCGAACATAATTTTGCATACATTAATGTGTTGGTTAGAGAACTGGGCGGTGCCCGATGCCCTCACACGGCAGGGTCGGAGCGCCTCTGGTGGCCAGGTTAAAATTATTGGGATAATCGCGGCTTCTGGTGTTATAAACGTTAACATCTGCTGCAGATTCGTGGTGGAAGAGAAGGCGGAGAAGTAGAGCAAGGAGATGAGACGAT